ACGATAACTGGATTCCCTGCTAAATAAACAAACTAGACTGGATTCTAGGGGGAGGGCAGGGGAAATAGAGCCTGTTATCTATAAAGCTGATGAGTGCCTTAGATTGCCTGAGGAGTCTCTGTTGCTAGAGGTCTAAAGAGATCAAAGTTGTATAAAACAAGACAAGGCTAGTCTTACAAATGTTGGAGCTTGAGAAGCTCTTTCTGGCTACATACTTTGATAAGCGGCTATTTGCTACCAACCTGAGGTAATCAGATGATTCTCTGCATGATTACAACTAATTTACACTAATGAAGAAATATAAACAGCAAACGTTCACCCAAAAAGATATTACAAAGAGCATTCACTATCACAGCTAAATCACATCCTTAAATCTACAATGTCCTTCCCCTGGAAGCGTGACACTGCACCTAATGTTCTGCTGTTCCAAGTAACGGACTCCCCCACCTCAAGTTAGGGATGAGGAGGTTAAGAATTTATTATTACTAAGAGGGTGGTAACACCAAAGAAGGGAAACTGAGCTGGGGAAGACAGGAAAGAAGCAGGAGGATTGTATACAAGAACAGCATCTGGGAGAGAGATGTAATGCAGGGGCCACCAGGAAGGGGCAGGAGGTAGTTGGGGCAAAAAAGTCACTTAACCAAGCGGCATATTCTACTGACGACGTAGTGGTTTCAACCTGCTGAGAAAAGGTTGAGAATAAAGTGCCAACAAATTAAGATTGAAGCACAAGAAATGCACTTAACCCAGAGAAGGGGGGTGCATGTGGAGGGAGACAAAAAAAACCCCAACCATGAGCGGATTCCTGAAGTAGGAACTGAAAATGCTGTTTCCTGTTAAATTATCTCGAAAGCTAAAGATTGCTTCTTCACAGCATTAGCTGCTTAATTACTACCGCTTCATCTTCTGATTGCATGTCTATAGGGAAAATTCTCCCCAAGGTTTAGCAATACTGGATTTTCAGGACACATTATTTCCATTGCAACCTCCAGAGTAATGCATCACATAAATAGCAGAGCAAACAAGCAGGTTTAGATAAACAAAACCCATATCCATTTAAAAGTTTTAATTGAAAACCATCTGGGGGAAAACTCAGAGTCTAATGAGAGATTAGGTATTTCTCCTGGCAGCTAACAATTCTGCAGTTTCGACTTAGATCTCTTTATGGTGAAAAGGCCTCCCAAGGGGAAAAGTCCATATCTGCAATTACCATTTGTGGTATGTTAGATACAGACCAATGCAGATTACAATAAACTGAGAACAGTAGGAAAGAGGAAAGAAGTTGTACCTAGCTCCATAGCTCCGAAGTTATTTTAGCTTAGGAATATCATCCTTACTTCGCAATGTTAGACACGTGCAACCTGAGGTCTGAAAGTGACTCAAGGGTTAAGTTGAGGTGTTCTACAAGGCTGAGAGCAAAAGGTTTGAGCAAACCCCCCATCCCAAAACTCCTGTAGCTGTGTCAGCAAACAGAGGGGATGTGCCCTGAGCCCCCCTCTCTCCTTCCCCACACTGCAAAGCAGAACAAGCCCAAGGCTTCTTTCCGGTGCACTGCAGATGGAGGGGCAGCCACAGCAGCATTATCCAATTTTATGTCTATGGATCACCTATTGTTATTATATACAGAACACAGACCATCCACTTTGCTCTTTCACACCGATTCAGAACAGGGCAGAGCAATGTAACCTATAATACAAGCTTATAAAAAGCATTTTGACTTCCAGAACTCAAATTATTGACTGTTCTGTCAGGTACTTTTAAGGATCAATATATATCACTGCATTCAACTCACCTACTCAACGACCAAGTTTTCTACCATAGCACTGTTATATTGTGCTCCCACCACTTCATTTAAACACACAAATACTGATGTATCAGTCATGATCTGCAATGAACATTTATACAAAAGTGCTTTGCTATTTCTCTGTTTCAGCCTGTAAATAACCTTCAGGACTCCTCATCAGGCAACAGGCACTGGGCAAATATCAGCGTGGTATAATACTGACAGCATTTGATCAAAGAATTTTGTCCTGGGCAGAAAAATCACTGTGCTTCTGATGAGCACTCTCCATCCTGCCCCCCACCTTCCCTCCCAAGCCCTGACAAATATTTGCAACTCTAAGTCTCTCAAACGTGAGCGAAAAATCCATCTTGCGAAAGTCACAGCCCAACACCATGTGATTCTGCAGCAGAATACTCTGGGTACCAGATGCAGCTGGAAGAACTATGATTGATTCTAATCACAGCATTATTCTAGGCACAATATCCAGAGCCTGGAGGGCACACAGGTTCTTGATCTTTGACCTGCAGCCTTATCCTTCTATGATTCTGCCATCTATGCAGTAATTAACATACTTCAAAGTCCGCATCATCTCCATACCACTGCAACATATGTTTAAGTTCACTGCAGCTGCACAAGCCCATCTTTTGATCCTTTCACTCTTCCATTCCTGCAAGCCTTTTGCTCTTTGCCAGGCAACTGAAATACACAGGCCTTTAAAGTATTCAGAGGTCTTCCATTTAAAAAGCAAGTATTGAAAACACTAGAAATCCCTGCACTCGAGGTCTCCATTTGCCCCATAAGACACCACATAAACAACCACTGCAAGCTGTGGTATGCATTCTGAGCACTAACAATCAATCACTATATAGCAAGTTAAAATTCACTGTTTGACAGCACAGGGAAAGCTAAGTTCCTGTTGCCAGATCTACTAAAAGCTGCAATCAGCAGTATGAGATACTCCCAGGGAAGGGGATAGGAGGTGAATTAAAATGGAGAATTTGTGAGGTTAAAAAGCAAGCAAACAACAACAAACCCCACTCAAACGTGTGTTCAAATGTATTTAACTCTGTGAACGCAATGTGAGCATCACAGTGTTCTGCAAGATCTACTCTGATTTTCACAAGAACAAACAGTTATAAAAACCTGTAATACTAAGTGCTGTGAGAGTGACCATGAAGAGTGCCACGACCAAACTTGCACTGCTACACAAAGCTGGCTGGATTGAAACCCTTTCAGCAGAGAAGGGAAGGTGTTTGCTTTAGAGCACCAGCTAAACAAGCTGCTTTGGTTTCCTGAACACTGTTTTTGTTGCAGAAAACGCTCCAGTGAACATGAGATAACAAATGATGCGATTCCAGGATGTCAAACTGCCCCACGGCGAAGTGGCTTTAAACTTCCTCTTCACATGATCAGATTAACACCCAGGCCTACACAGAAGTTTAGTTTATAAGTTTACTTTTAGCCATGGGTTCACACTCGAGAAAAATTAATACTTTGACTTTCTCAGGGATAGTTTAGGAAGCCAGCCTGCCTCTTCCAGCAAAATTATCCCACGAGAAACCGGATGGGAATTTCTCTCTCTGCCATCTCACAGACCACAGCTATCCTCCTCCTGTACTTAGCCTCTTTTATTTTATATCATTCACATCCTCATCCTGTGTTTTCATCTTTCTAGAGCTCCCTTAACCAGCCCTGTGAAGGCTACAAAAGGAATGCAGAATGATTCTGAGTGTGGACATGGTGGACCAAGCTGTACTTCGCTTAGTCTGGCAGATATTCCCAGCATTAAGAAACCTGGTTTTGCACAGAAATACTCAGTTTGCAGAAGTATCTCTCCCCAACCACCCTCCAAAATGAAACTAAACAAAATGCTGTCAGCAAATAGCAAAGTACTTACAGTCCTCTGATACTCCCCTCTATGAAAGCACTCAGGAAGCTGCCATTTAGCATCTAGCTATAATAACCTGCAGGGCTTCTGTGGATAAAGAGTCTTTCCCCCGGTGCTTATTACAGATGTTTATGAAAAAAAGCATCTTCAATAGGGTCAAATTATTTAATTACATTTCTACTTTGTATGTCAGATGTAGGGTAATGAGCAGATCATTTCTGACAGAAAAAACAGACCACCCAATCTTACTTGAAAAGAATAGTAAATTCCTTTAGAAATCACTAACTGAAAGGCAGGGGTTGTACAAGTGTACTATTCTCCTTTTAAAAGACCAAGTCCCATTCATAAAGCCCCAAACCCATGAAAATTTTGCTCGGTTATCTATTTTTGTTAAACCTATATATTTGTATTAATGATTCTTCCTATGGCTCAGATAACACAGTCTTCTTCAACAAGAACAAAGCTCCACTTACGACCTCGTTCAGCCTTCCATTCCCCATTCACAGCAGCCGAATAGCTGACTGCAGGTGATCAGCCATGACCGAACATCTGCTGTGCTGTGTATGGACCTGGCAGAGGTCTTCCTGAGCAGTGAGAACTGGGTAAGACCCAGTTCTGCAACTCATCTTCTGGTGAGCTACTACTTCAAGGTCACAACAGCAACATGCTGCTCCTCACTACATCACTATTTAACTAGATATTACCCCTTTAGATCCAAACCAGCTAATGCTTACCCAAAACCCCATATTCCTGGAGAAGAAAGTACCCTGAGAGAGCACCTTCTGAAATGAACTAAGGAACTGAGCTATCAAAAACTGCTGAAAGCTGTATTTGACCTGAGCTCCCAGATTCCTGGGGATCCACAGCTGCTTCTGAGGATCCTGGAAAGTCAACTATGGAAAGAAAGCCCACTGGCCTGAATTCAGGTATGTTTATGTGAGAGTTCCCACTACTACAGGGAATTTTTACAGGATCCACAAATCCTATTTGAAAGCCACAGATTTAAAACATATCCTCCAGTAAACAAGAGTTTCACAGTTAAACATAGCCAGGAAGTTTCTCAATATCTTTTTTCTCAGCTTGTTCAGTTTCTTTGGACACAGATTTCTTGCCATTCTACTTGCCAGAAGGGAAGGCATTTTGATACAATCCAATCATTACAAGAAGTAACTGCAGACACTCATTGTCGCAGTAACTATGGGATGCAATCTACTCACAGTCAACTCCTCTCCCCTCCCTACACACTCTGTTCACAACAAAAGGATAAGGAAAATCCTACATGAGAAAAGTTGAAAGACAAGTGTAATGAAGAAACATGGTAACACTTACGGTCAAGTCCGTTGATGTATCTCATCGTAATTTCACAGTGCCCCCAAACTGCACTGACTATGGGATAAAGTTTTTTCCCTTTTAGTCCCCTGAAGGCCACTCCAAGATACTGTCCATCTACCATGAAGCTAAGTGTCCCTTCATCCATATCCAAAACCACCAGTAAGGAGTCTGGGAGAACAAAAGACTCATCCGGTTCCAAAAAGACAGGATACGTGACCCCAGGCTGGTTTTTACAATTATGGTAGAGTTTGTTGCGTCCCAGATCCCAGCCCCACGATTCACTGTTGCTACCAACCAACGACGTGTATCCCACCGAGTGCAGTGGAGCTTCGGCCGTGGAGACACCCACCACAGCATGAGTTCCCCGCTGCCTCGTGGGCCAGTGGATCTGCCAGACATGGAGGCCCCTCGTGTAGCCGACCTTGCCCCGGATGCAATCTGTGCTTTGGGCAACGGGGTGTCTGTGAAAGGTCAGTTTATCATCTTCCTTTACAAATATATTTAAGGAGCGATCTTCATTGTTCCAAGCATGTTTATACTGGACCTCCAGCTTGGCAGGGGGCATATCCAACAGCATGTCCAGGCGTGCCGGCTTGCAGAAATCCGGGCCTCTCAGCTCTCGCTTAACAGGTCTATAAGGGGGCTCCCTCACATCCACAGACTTTATGCTCCCTGAGATTTTCTGGCCCATTGCTTGGCTGCAGATTTACAAAGGAGAACGAAAAGTTGACTTTGGCCCGGTGTTACCTCATGAAAGCACTTTCACGCTGCGCCAGTGACCCGACAAGCTGCCTGGATTTACTTCTGCTCGCAGCTTTTTAGCAGCAATGTTTTCAGAGGAGAAAATGCTCCTGAAAGAAAGCAGAAAGTTTCCAGTTAGTTTAAGAAAGCCAACAGAAAACCCACGGCCTGTTTTTAAAGAACTTTGTTCCATCCCTCATAGTTATTTTAAACACCGAAGCTGACAATTCACCACTTTTTGTTCCGTATCCTACAGCACTAACCAGCCTGCCAGCAGCACACGGAGCCCACCAGCGCTCAGAGAGCAGACAGTCATTTCCTCCTATTCATAATAGGATGCAGCCATTCCCCAGCTTCTGCCCTTCCACCTATTTTGTCTGGCCAAGTTCACAGCGGTCCTGAAGAAGGCGTATGCTATTCCCCAGCAACAGTGATAAACTTGCAGCTCCACTTTCACTTCTGCTTTTGTTTCATAACCTTAGAAATAGGCACTATGTGAGAATCTCCTTTTATTTCTAGCTGTTCTCTTCCCTGGGCCCTGGCAACAGAGGGCTTTAGCTTCCGTGCTGTTATTCAAACAAGCACAGCCAACAGCAAGTGGCTGCAAAATTTAAGTGTTTTCTTTTAACACAGCCTGCACTTGAATTAAAAAAATCATTAAGCTTTAGGTATTTTATAAAGGACCAAAAAAATAATAATTAAAAGAGGGAAAGATGGAAGAGGAGCCATGGAAGGCCAAAGGAAGAATGAAGGATGGCAGTTCCAGTTCTTTGGCAGGCTTTTCTAATGGGCAGCTACTACAGTTGGGTAAGTTCCTCGCTCTACTGGACAACAGGTTAATCCACATTTCACTATCCGACTGATGAGAAGGACTGGAACACAGTAAGATGCATTTAAGGGGACTACATGATTTTGAAATGTATTATTTCTGTGCTTCCATAGACAAACATGGTAATTTAGCTGGAAATGGTCAAGAGCACCAAAGAAAGATTCTTTGCAACCTGGATAAATTATATCCATTCACATTTTAGAGCTCAGGTAGAGTGCAAAGGGAAGCCAAGAACCTCTAAAGGTACTAAAGGAATAAAAATGAAGGCAAAATCCTATAAACTCAAGTAGACAATAGACATGGGATCATATAAAGTATCTACACCAGCAGACATACTTCTGCCTTCTAGCAAAACAAGTACCAAGTCTGGGGATGCCCAAATATAGCAGAGTGAATCTACGTTGTTTATTTACTAGCAGAGCGATGAAGTGTTTCAAGCAGCAGCAAAAATCACCACACTTTCAGAAGTCTGAAGAACCTAGGTGACAGCTGGCCTTCACAAAGCACCAAGCAGCACACAGGGACATAACTGTCTTGCAACAAAAAGACTTGGAAGTCCCAAGTCCATCTTCTTCCTTTTAAAGAACCTCTATCCCAGATACACTCTCCCATTGCATAGATCATTTCTGAAAGGTGATGAGTAAGAAACGTGCACTCGCAACAGAAGGAAATAAAAAGGGAAGTATAGGAAAAGAACACCTGTAAAATTTACCACCCATAACATGTTTTAGAAGCAAATTAGATCCTTGTATTATTAACAGCCAATACCATGTGAAGTGTTTTCTGGCTCTATTGAATACAGAATGAAACAACACCTGTGTTACGTGAAAGTTATCTTCCCAAAAGGAAAAATGCAAAAAGTTGATTTTCAAATCCATGTGATGATTAATTTACTGTATAAAACAGCATTATTTTCTGGTGGCTTGGTGCCACATGGGTACATGCACACACCACAGCCTCAAACAACCCCCTCTGCACCTGGGGTTAACCTTCAAAAACCAAAATTAAACATAAGCCCCCAAGCCCCTCGTATCACTCTGGCATGAGGATTCAGAACAGTTCACAGGAGCTCCTTATGTGAGATCAGCTTGAACAGTCCCCATTCCTTCTTTGCCAACCACAAAAGGAATCTAGAAGTTTAAACAGTAATTACATTTAAGCTGATGCCATTTCCACTATTGCAGAAGAACTCACAGGTTGTTTCAAAGATGTTGGCCCACCAAAGCAAGTTCAGTACTTTACTCAGATGTTCAAAGGGAACCTCAGTGATTTCTGTATGAGATGTAGCTCTACGTGCCTTGGAAATTTTCCAAGACAATTGCCCCATTCCTGTCAGAGTGCCGAAGGGAGATGGCCAGGGAAGTCCTCAGTGCATCCTCCTGCATCATTTCCTGATCACACGAGAAACTAAACTTGGCACAGACATTTACCTGGCAAATCACCAGGAGATACAAACACTGAAGTGATTCACTTGGCAAGTCACATTCTTCCTAATGCACCCCAAACTGTGGCATAAACAGGTTGCTAATAGACGGATCAGTAACTGAGAGGAGTAAAATGCATCATTGTAAGCACCATGATACAAGCACAACTGTACCTGTACTCTGGAATGTGCTCAGCAGCTACTTTGGTTTGAAACTCTGTATTACAGTATCAGGTCTTTTCCCATACTCAGACATTACCACAAAGTTTAATTGTATTATGTAACGTTTTGAAAAATAGCTTTGAACGGACATAGAACTGAACAACAGCGTAAAAATTCTACACTTACTGATGCATTAGAAACATGGCACTTCCTAAGCAGCACCTCGGATCAAAAGCTACTTTTCATCAAATACTTTCTCCCACCCACCATATTGCACTCTCTTGCATCCTAGCTTTGTGTAGTTGGTAGTTGTTTGCTTCTACTTATAGCCACGCTGATCTCATTCAAGTATTAGTGGACTTAAAACAACTAAATGAAAAAAGAATGTCAACATTTAACCATTTGTACCAGTACAGCAATAAAAGCGTAACCCCATGCTGGCTGTGGTCCAACAGCTCTGATTGCTGGTGCTTAGTAGGAGCTGACTAAGAAGAACACTTTCAAGGGAAGCAGTGATGGGCTGCAACACATACCTCCTGCTCACAACCCACACAACAGGAATGTGAGCTCCATGGGGAGCAATTCATGCAGAAAGCCCTCCTGGCACCTCACAACAGTCCTGCTGGTTGCTTGCAGGAGCAACCTGTCTCAATGGCAAGATCACCTATTCTCTTTTCCTGGCTGCGCCCTGTCCATTTACACCAAGCAGATGGCAGAGACCCACACTGGGGCAAGGAACAGCAGAAGAGACATCACCTCATCCTTCACCCTTGTCAGAAGCTGCTGTTGGAAGAGCACAGCTTACCAGGGCCCAGCCCGTGTCCACTGACAAGCATCCCCTCCCTATTTCCACAGGTAACATCACACTTCCAACGCAGAAGCCTTGGGAATGTCACACTCGCACCATTATTGTCAGAATCCCCAAGCAGCTTTTCCCCATGGAGCTGCACAACTGCCACACACCAGAGGCTGCTGAGAAAGCCGAGCACACTTGCAAGGGGAAGTGGAGTGAGTATCAATTCATCCGGCAAAGGTTCCCCAAACTGGCTTCCTGTCTGCAGGGTTGGGTGGATACACCTCAGAGGATTAGTAAAAGCTGTGGGTCAACCTGAAAGGACAGAGGATTATTCCTTTCAGACGATGTACTATTCAATCCATTTACAGAAATATTTCATTGTAAAACCTTCTTACCATCTCCTGAATTAATAAGAACTCGCTAGAGTGCAGCACTGTCATTGACCTGCTGTGACTTTTTGTACTCTTACAGTACTTCAAGAAACTTGAATTTCCTTGCCTCTATCTTATTAGATACATAAATAGTCTGCAATTAAAAGAACATTCATTTTCACTGCATAGTTTTGCTTTGAAGTTTTGCTCTCCCAGTAATTTCAAACCACTACAGGAGGTCGGAAATAAGAAACTATTTCAATCTGGCTTAACACACAACCTCTCCATTATATCTGCTCAGCAGCTACAACTGAAACACTAAATTTCATCAGTTATATCTGTGATAAAAGGTATTTTGTGAAAAATAAAGAAGTATTTTATTGGGAAGAGAAGAAGCATCATGTTGGTACACTCCTTCAGCAACTGGAAACCTCTGGCTGAGAAGACTGTTAGTTTTTGTAGCCTAAATTACTTCTGTCTCAGTTTCACATTCATGCCACGCTTTGTCAGGATACGATGATTAAACCTACTGCACAAGAACAAGCCAACTCCAAACAGGAAAAGTGTGTCAACGTCGCTTAGCAGTGTCCTCATGCAGCCTGCCAAAATATTTAGGTAAGTTATTCACAATAAAAACACAAATTACAGTTACCAGAGAGAGACTTGCTGGGACATCACTTTGCTGTGACTAAATAGAGTGAGGTTTGCTAACAATTCAGTATGTTGGCATCAGTGTAACATCGCTGCTGATAAAAGAAACATGCTTTCTGCAAAGTCAGCTTTCAGCATTCATAGTAGTATTTCCCTCTGGATTATGAACTAGACGTGCAGAAAGCTTGGCAAACATGCACGAGAAAAGACACCACATAAATGCAATTCCAAACTACAGTAAGGATGTGCTACGGTTTTGGTTAGTTGTGATGAATTGAGGCTTACCAAAGAAGTGAGAAGCAGCTAGGTGAAAACCAACAATACTGAGAGGCAAAATTACCTATCAGAAAAACCAGGGAAGGTGCTGCCTCCATCTACCAACACTTCAAACTTCCACACAGCAGTTCCCACTTTTTGCTATTGACCCTCGCTGGGTTTTTTCCTCCCTGCAGCCAGACCTCAGTGCCACCTCCCCACCAATCTGGGCTTCGTTACCACTCAGCAAGGATTCCTAAATGCTAACTGAGTTGGAACAGAAGACTCTCAACCAAGACCTCTTCTCCATGGGCACCAAAACTGTCTGTTCCCCAGGTGCCTGAACAGAACCAATACCCGAAGTGTTTATGTGCTCCAAATCTAACCCTGGTCCGAATGTCCCTACAGGAGGAATAGGAAGAGAAAAACCAGCAGCTCTGCTCTGTGGGGCAAGTTAATGAGG